GTGATGGACTACAATCTCAATACAAACTAGTAGTCCATCACTGGAGCTTTTTTTTTTTATCCGATTAACCGAACTTAATAATCGGCTAACTAATTTATTTTGAAAATAATCGTTAGCTGCAACCCTACTCAGGAGGGCTGTGGGGAGTCTCAGGTGGGCTGTGCGGGGCCTCAGGTGGGCTGTGCGAGGCCTCAGGTGGGCTATGCGGGGCCCCAGGGTGCCTGGTGGGCTGTGTGGAGTCTCAGGTGGGCCGGGGGAGTCTCTGGTGGCCTGTAGGGGTCTCAGGTCTGGCTCTGCAGATTATTATTTTTAATAATGTTTTCGTTTTTTTTACTTTATCAGTTTTTTTAAAATTCTAACTTCTTTTATTTTATTTCACTTAACTTTATTGCTATCACACAGGGGTTAACAAGTTCCTGTGTGATAGCATTAAGGGGGAAAGGTTCTCTTTATGAGCCCGCCCTCCAGTACAGACTGTGGACTTAGAACGAACTGGACTCTGGACTTAGAATGCACTAGACTCAGGCCCGGTGCAGGCCTACGCGATCCGGGAATGCGAGTCCTGGGATCGCACGGTCCTGCACAATGCAGGCCGCGATTGCCGCGCGGCTGTTTTAGCGCAATCCGCCCGGCGCAAATGGGGTGCAATTAGAAAATAATGGCACACCTAGGCGACTACTGACCGGGCAGAATCGTGCACGATTGACGTGCGGTGATGTGTCGTCTAGGTGTGCACAGACCCTTAGGAACACACTAGACTTGGGGCATAGGAAAGCACTAGACTCTGGACTTTGCAACACAGTGGACCTGGGACTAAAAACAGATAATACAAACACCCCCCCTTCCCCCTGCTACCTGATTGCCTGCTCTGTCTCTATGCAGACTTCTGATCTTGGTAGGACACCCTGTCCCATGCAGAGCCCGCACTGAGGCTTGTACAATAATCCAGGGCCAGGCTGGCAGGCAGGCATATGTACATCTGAAGGGATGCCGGGGATGTCCTGTTTGATAAAATATCTGCATCAGTTCTCCTCCAGCCGTTACCGATGTTTTATCAAACAGGACATCCCCAGCATCCCTTTAGATGGCCAAGCCTATCTGTGGATGTTCTTCAGACGGCAGCTCGGGAGCACATTGCCCCCTCTGCCCCCATCCTGCTACACCACTGCCAGGAGCCTCTGGGGGGGGGGGGG